AGCCTGGCACGCCTCCTCTGATCCCGATCCGAAGCCTAACTGTGGGCAGGCTGTACTCAACTAAGACAAAGGCCAAGCCCCGCGCAGCCTCGACTTCCTGTTTCAGGACAGGTTCTCGCAGGGTGGTCTTGGAGCAGGGGCCCTTTCCGAACACTGTCCGTCACTGGCCCAGAGTGCCCCGGCCGGAACCGTGGGGGCGGGGCTCCCGACCTGTGCTCGGCCAGGCTGGAGGAGCGACTCCTTGGGGACACTTGAGGGCCTTCCGACCTGACCAATTGATCGGAGTGGTAGTTCCCAGCCTGTGCTGTTCTCGTCGGTGGGGTCACACCTGGGCGGCTGTGAAGACGGATGCTGGTGTCCGGGGCCCAGAGACCGGAGCAGCCGGTAGGGAGAAGGGTGTGGCACTGGCGTCCTGCAAGGCGCCCATGTGATTATAATCAGCGGCAAAATTCAAGAACCGGAGAAACGTGTGTGTGTGTGCGCGTGTGTGTGACTGTGTGTCTTTGTGTGCGTGTGTGTTTTGTGGCTGCTACATGATGCGTTTCCGGTATGAATACCAGCTACCGGCAGCAGGAAACTCTGACGGGCTACGAGGAGCTTTCCCATGGATCTCTTTTAGTTTTGAGGGGGAGGGGAGCAGGCGAGCCCTCAATCTACTGGTGACTGAAGGCCTGCGACTCGGCTGAAGACACCCAGCTCGAGTCTGAGATCTAGGCACAGAGTCCCCGCTCACGGCGACTTAAGTAACGCTCCTGCCTAGACGATGGCATTTGTGAGAAAGACCTTTGTCCCCTCGCTGGCTGCTGATCATGCTCAGCACATCCGATGATGTCGTAATCTGGCCCAACGAGGCGGCTGAGAAATGACAGATGAGCATCCCTGTGAAATAACTGTAGCCCTGAGTTGTTCCAACTCACGAGCCAACCATCTGGATAAATGCCAAACTAACCAGATAATCGCCCAAACCTGCACCTCACTTTGATTGGCCCTTAATGGTAGTTGAGTGTCCTGCCAGGGTCAGATGTCCTCCACCCCACGGTCCCTATGACACGGAGCCACTGAACAGAAATCTCAGGGCAAAGCTACTCTGTTCCACTACGTGGTCCTGGCAAAGTCAGGCCACACTCCAAAGACCCCGGGGAAGACGCCCCCTGCTCTTGGAGACAGTTCGTCACATTTCAAAATCAGGTGCTCTTTGAGGACCCAGGTCAGCTGGACGAAGTCACCAAGTATCTTGGTCTGGCACAGTTACTCGTCCCCTGTGGGGAAGGTGGGGGGTGGGGACCTCCCCGGACTCTTTGTCCTGGCCTCGGCTGCCGTGAGTGCTGGACGCTCACCCCCTCTGGCTGGCCCCTTCTCTGGGGGAATTGATTAGGAGGTTGTGCTGCATTTCCCCACCCCCACCCCCACCCCATAGTGACATTGCTACTCTCTCCTCACCGGCAGACAATATGAGATTAAAAAAAAAAAAAGCCAGCGTCAGGTGGGGATAACTGCAAGCTGCTCCAGGTGTCCCCACAGGACGAGCTGCAGCTGGGCTTCACCTGAGCTGAGCCCTTACTCAGCTACCTGCTCCCCACACACACCTTCTCCCTCTCACAGGCTTTCCTGGAGGACGGTCCCGCACTGACTCACAGGTGCCTGCGTCCCTGTCTCTGCTTTTGGGAACTTAGCTCTTCTCTCCCTACCCTGTGGTGACACATCACATAAGCATCACAGAAAATCTCAAGCCTGGCGACTCCATCAGCAGCCCCTCCGCCCCCACCCTGGCGAAGCCAATACGATCATCTAAGTGGACTCAAGCATTAAACGTGAACAGAAACAGTGCATTCGGAAAGTTATTTTCTTAACCAATGAAATACCTAACTTCTAATTAAGTTTTTATAGAAGGTTCGCGTTTCCTCACGATTCTAAGCCCCTCTTCACTCCAGTTCCAGTATCCCTTCGTGAGAGGGAGAGCGAATGCCCCAGGAGTGCGCCACCCAGGAGAACCCCACCCACGACCCGCGGAAGGACACGAGAAAAGGCCTGGGGACAGCTGCCTTGAGGAACACTAAGCCGTGAACGGCGACGGGTTCAGTCACTAATGGGGACGCCCCTACCCGATGTGCCCAGAACCAGGCTGACGCTAAGCTAGCAGTCTCTCTGTGGCCCCCTCCATCCGGCGAGTAAATCACCCAGCTAAATTATTTAGCAGTTTCGATCCGTCGAATATAGATTATGTTACATGCACGTTAAATTCCAGACAGGACACACAAGGACGAGGCCAAGGGAGAAGTCCACCACATCTGCTCCCGACCATCTGCCAGTCACGCCTTCGGGGCTGTCGCCCTTCACGAGAGGGACTTCCTCTCTAGCACTAGCGGGTCCTGGTAGCTGATCGATAGCTCGACCCAGCCCTTTTTTTTTCTTCCTTATACTGAAGTATCTTGTTTCTTTGTTGACATCGACTTCACCAGGATCCTAATACAGGTAACGTCAAATCGGTTACTTGATACAAAGGAGTCAAGGCTGTTCTGTAAGAAACACAGTGGCTCGTGGACTACGACCTTATTATAGCTCACCCAAGGGAACGATGCAAATGTACGTGCATTTTTAAACAGTCAGGCGTATTCTTATTATGGGCTCCAGAGAGCCACTCATTCAACACTTACCTGCCCTTCTGTTCACTCGGAGGGTGTTAATGTGATTTTGGGGGGAAGGGAGATGGTATATTACAGAGGGAACATCTAAGCTTGTTAGTCGAGATTCTCTAAAATTAGTCCTTAATTAAACTTTCATTTTCTTCTTTCGACTGTGTGCTTGGCCCATACGCTTTATGTATCTGCATCAATTTTTTTTGAAGAATAATTCAGGATTCTCTATGTGCAACAAACTATCCAGACGTTTCACAACTTTGAGCCGCTGTTCAGGCCGCTGCGCTCTGATCTGGAATATTCCCCGCATTCTTTTCTCTCTGTCCAAATATAAACGGCTGTCCAAGGCCCAGCTGGCCGGCCCAGGCCGCTGGCCAACCTCCGGCCCCTGGACTCCTGGAAGCCTGGCTATTGTTAGCGGTTTGGCCTGTGTCTCTTCCTGATGCGCCTCACTGTGCTCACATTCAACTCGGCTGAGACCAGGTGGTTTGATAACGTCTCAGGTTTGATAACATCGCCACTGCTCTCCCGTGCTGACCCTGGCGACTGAGGAACTCGGATCAAATTTCATTCGGAATTAGTTCCAACTGCAGATGATCTGAAATGACCCTCTGAGTATCAAAGCTGAAGTAGTGATCCCCAACTCACCAGCCTTGAACCCCGGGCGGGGGGAAGGGGAAGTATCTGGGGAAGGCTGTGCAGAGTCGTTTTAACCTGTTCCATCTCATCTGTCCGTTAGAGTAGACACATCGACTAGATACTGTTCTAACGCATAGATTTCATATACACTGTTACTTCTAGCTGTGGTCGGCGCTCTACAGAAAAATCATTCAATAGCCTTTCTCACTTCAGGTTCTACTTTCGGGGCTGTAATTATCCTGGATCTATACCCCATGATTTTATCCCATGATTTGTGGTTGCTCCTTACAATCAAATTGTAACAAAGGGACCTAAAAAAATCTTTTAAAATTATAATGGAGTCCCCAGACTTGTAAATTGGCAAGCGCTCACCCAGATGGTTTTAGAACCCCGTGATTCATTCATTAGGCCCCTCAGCCTCAGTTTTAAGTGTTCTGCTAACTAGCTGGCATAATGTTTAAAAGAGAACATGCTTCTTTCCGCAGAAAATCCTACACGATCGGCCACGGTGAACTGCGGGCCGGGAGTCAGTTCCCACTACCAACAATCCGATCCGGCCTGGGCAGGATGGAGCACCGGCCTCATCCTGGAGGAAGTTGAAATGATTGTTCCAACAACTGTCAGGGGGAGGAGGTGTGTACGTTTAGGCTTCCTAAAAGCTCACGCTTACAGTCGGCCGCACCAAGCCGAACATGCCAGAAGCACAGAATGTCCCTAGGCCTCTTGCGGGAAGGCTGAGGTCCCGTGAACCCTCACAGAGCTTGTCTTTAATGGATGCTGATCCAGGCGAACGAGCTCGGTGAGAGAAACTGTCACGGGAGCTTTCCCTTCCTTGTTTTCCCTTCCTTGTGCTCGGGGTGGAAGGACATTCTATTTGGAGCACCTGTCTATACACGTAAGATCTACGTGCCAGGCACAGAAAGCCTCCGCAGAAGAAACAGGCAGGATTTGTGGAATCGGCTCCCCCTAAGAACTACTGCTCAGATACTTCACATCACTTCTGAAGTCAGAGTCAAGGTTCCTCTATGGGACACGTGCAAGTTGGCGGCCGGGATGTTTGTGTCGTTCTTAATGCCCGCAGGTTTGTCAATCCACTTAACCTATACTTTCGATGATGTATTTACTTAATTCGATAATTCATTTTTTTAAGTCTCTCGACTCCTCGATCACCAAACACACCCATTCATTCCTAATTCGGTCAATGTTTACCGAGTGCATCCTATGTTGTATTAATCCTGAAGTGCCCACTGGTGGCTCACATCCAACGTGGTCCTGGACGCCGCAGGCTCTTAAGGCCATGGGGAGGAAAGGACGGGGAAGTCGCACACATGAGGAAAAGGCAGTGGTGGTGTCTGTCATGAGCAGGGTGAAGAGGCAGTGTGACAACCTGCATAGGGGGGAGCTGGCCTAGGCGCCGGCCAGAGGCCGTCAGAGGCAAGGACGAGGGGCAGGTGGAGCACCGCAGGCAGCAGGGCACAGCACGTGGGAGGGGCCTGTGGTGGAGTGGGAGCCGGCGGGTTTGCAGACAGAGGTCAGCCCAGCCGGGGGCGAGGGGGAGGCTCGCCATCCGTAGAACGCGGTACGTGTGTCTCCAGCAATCTGTCTGGCCTAAAGACCCCTTTCTCCTGTCTCCTGCATCGGGCGTTTACGCTGGGCCAAGCCCGTGTTAGTTTACCGACTTAAAGAGTGTCTACTGGCTGACGTATCTCTTTCCAGCATACTCACCGATAACGCTGAGCTCGGCGCTGGAGAAGATGACGCCGTGTCTGTTCTCGGCCACGCACTGGTACATGCCCGCATCCGCGAGGCCCACCACGGTTATGTTCAGCGTCCCCTGCTCGATCTGAATTCTGTCCTGTGAAACAAGAGAGAAACACAGAACGGTGACCTCCTGCGACCGAGACCTTCGGGCAGTTTTGCTGCGTGTTTTATCAGAGGGGTTTAATGGGAAGAAAATAGCCATCAGAGAAGCAATTTTCATAACACAATCTATTTATCTGTCAGCTACTTTTGTGGCAGGTCAGATGCTACACGGAATAACCCGTACATCAACTGGAAAATGGAATCTAAATTGTAGGACCGACTCCCTTGAGTTCTCATTGATTTAGTAGTGAAAGCATTCAGATTAATATGCTCTCTAAATAGATGAACTTAAAATTTTAAATGCTTTTCTACTCTAAGGCTTTCTGCTGCCCGGGGGCGGGGGCGGGGGATGGGGAAGTGAGGGGGTGGGAAATACAACCTGCACACTCACCCACTGCATGCACACCCGCTGCACGCACACCCACTGCACACTCACCCACTGCACACTCACCCACGGCACGCACACCCACTGCACACATACCTGCTGCACTCACCCTCTGACGCACACCTGCTGCACACTCACCCACTGCATGCACTTACCCATTGCACACACACCTGCTGCATGCACTCACCCATTGCACACACACCTGCTGCCTGCTCACCCACTGCATGCACACTTACCCACTGCACACACACCTGCTGCGTGCACACTCACCCATTGCACACACACCTGCTGCATGCACACTCACCCACTGCATGCATACCCGCTGCACGCTCACCCCGCTGCATGCTCACCTGCTGCACACAGACCTGCTGCACACTCACCCGCTGCACACACACCTGCTGCACACACACCTCTGCTCAGAGCCTGATTTTGGAAAACCCAAAGACAGCAATTCTTGAAATATTTTCAAAGAGCCTTTATGCTTTTCACGCCCCCTCTGCCTCCCTAGCACGTCCTCCCCGTGGCTGTCCCGGAATCATGTTCCTGCAAGCCTGGCGGCTCCGCGGGCTGCGGACGTTCAGTGTCTGGGTTCCGGCTCCCCTAGTCACAAACGACGAGATCCGAGGCAAACTGCTCAGTCAGGACCATTTTATGCACCAGTCAGGTTCCTTGTTTATAACACGGGCAGAACAGCAGCATTTACTCACAAGGTCCCTTGTGACAGTCCCACGAGACGACGCGTTTGGAGGGCGGGATGGGTCAGCATTTCTTAAAATCGTTTACGAACACCTTCCAAAGTCTTTGTGACTATTATTATAACTCATCCCATCTCCTCACAAAATGCGGCCTCAGTAGAATTTTTATTTCACGGTTATGTGTTTCTAAGATTTCCATTTGGTCCTTTAAAAGCTCTGTCTGCTTATCGTTTCAAAGTATCTTGTTTATTTTTACGGACATGGCTCCTTTATCTCTCTGAGCATGGCAAATAGACTTATCCCTATTTCTTTGTCAGACCGTTCTATAGGTGGTTATCGCTCTGGAAAATAAATTTTGCATACGGCTCGGAGTGCTGGTTTGCAGGCTTCCTGAGAAAAGGAGTCACTTTTGCTTGTTCGACTTTTCCCCTGGTTAGCGGTTCTGCGGCTACTTCGCCTCGTTCCCTGGGCCACTGGCTTCTCTAGGGTCCCGGCAGCTCTGGCGGCTCCTGTCCCAGGGCAGATGGGGGACAGGCCCTGGGCTTTCTGACTCTCTTGCAGCAGAGTCCTACATGGCCAGGCAGCAGTACGGCGGCTTCTATCATTGGGTGGCAATAGGTGTGGGGGGGCCTCCAACCAGAGCCTTACCTCCAAAAGCACTGCGCCCTGTCTCTGGAGAGGACGTGTCCCCTGTGAGCTCCTGGTCACCACTGCCTGCTCCCAGGCCCTCGGGCTGGTGCCCCCAGCCCCCGTCACCTCTCTTTGCTTTTGTTCTATTTCTGTTGCATCGGAGATGCCGACCCCGTGTTTGGATGTGTCGTTCTCGCACGTTTGAGGCAGAGCGGGGGTCTGGATGGTGAACGAGCTGCACCCTGTCGGCCAGAAGTCTCTGCGACAGGACTGGCCACGCCACAGTGCGAGGCGAGTGTGGGTGCCCGGGGGGTTAGCTCGCTGGCTCGCTGGAGTCTACAGCACACGCAAATCTGCGCTGAGCACAGGCACACCTTCCAGACCTGCGTAAGTGCCCGGCTGCAAAGCCAGAGGTACTGACCTGTGAGGACAAAGCCCAGCAGAGAGGCTGAGGCACCGGATCCGCGTGCAGGTGGCCACCTGAGCTCACCTGTGCTTCTTCCGGTACTAATGGCTTTCGGTTGCATATTATTTTGGAAACAGCTCATTGTTTTCCTGTTTCCGTAGCAACGAGGCCACATTAGACGTGAGAGTCAACATGCAGCGCACTCACCATCAGTTTGCTCACCTGAGTGGACAGCGGCTCCCCATTTCTCAGCCACCTGTACGTGGGTCGGGGTCTTCCGCTGGCTTTACATTCCCAAAAGACGTTGTCTTCGATGGCCACGTGGATGTCATTTATCTTTTGAATCCAGTTGGGTTGAGCTACAGCAGTTCAGAAAGCAAAGAGGTACATTCAGTGCACGTTCGATCTATTTTTATCGGATGCAATCAAGGGACAGAAGTAGGCTCATCATAAAACTGCCCTTTCAGACGCTCGCCGACGACGAGGCTGGGGAGACGTCCTCGGAGTGCTTTCGGAAGACACCCCGCCCCGTCCGACTCCGAACGCCGTTTGGGCAGCCCGGGGGGCTGGTCTTTACGCGGGGAGAGCAGAACTGCCGTCAGCCGCATGGCGAAATTAACTGCCCGCTCCCCCGAGTATCTGTTCTTCCTTTTTCCCTCTTTGTAACAGAAATATCCCACTCTGCTCTGCCAGTTTGAGCTGGACTTACGCTTTCCTAGCGATACGTCCCCCAGATTCCTTTGCAGCTAGGGGTAATGACGTTCACGCCAACAGCACATGCGTGAGTGCTGAGCGTGACGCCCAGATTATTTACTTAAAGATATTTGCACTGGACTCTCGTCGTCCCTTCCCGCCAATGGGAAAAACGTAATGACTGGAACAACCTTGGGCTCCGAGAGGGACACGACAGAGGGTGGAAAGGCTGACCAGCCAGTCTTGGACCTTGAGTGACCTCATAGAGCAAAGCAGCCCGAGTCCCCTGCCGATTTTCGGAGTGATATGTGAGAGAGAAGTAAGCCTCCTGTTTAAGCCTCTGCATTTTGGGGTCTACGTGTCACAGCAGCTTAGCTTGTCCCTAACTAGTACGCTTCACTCCCACACGTTACACGAATAATTTTCGAGACTCCTTTCTCCTTCAAGACTATCACCATGGTTTAACGTTGTCTTATTTCCTGGCGGCAGAGCGTTGTCCACAAGAGCATGGCCCTGGAATCCCCAATGGCTGAGCCAGTCCTGATTTTTACCAAAACCTTCTTCGGACCTCGGGTCCTGCCACAGGTAACGTAGGAAGTCACCCGACACGTCACCCGCACCGCCCACGCCCTATACCACGCCCGCAACCCAAACCATGCCACGCTTCTCAGGCATCAGGAGAAGTCACGGTTCTTTCCTTGTCTGCAATGAGCTAAAGATAGCGTGAATTCCACGATCTATAAACAAGTCTCGATAAATACGCCTTTCGCCCGAAGCATAACTCACGCCATCGTTAATTCTAACGGCAAGTGCATCGAGGTGGGGGCCGTCCAGCCCAGAGTTCACGCGGAGCAGACCTTGGCCTCTCACTCAGGAA